TGGGGGAGAGAGGCTTGTGGAAGCCGGTGGTGGCAGTTGGGCTCTGAGGGTTTTTCCCTGGAGCTGTTTTGTTTGGCGTTTGTAGTTCTAAAAATAAAGTTAGTTTCTTTTTGACAAGTGGCTCCTGATTTGTGCCAAGCCAGACTTCGGCAAGAAGGCCTTTTCCTCCCTGCATTTATTGACTATCCAGTGTCTTCAGTTTAAAGTAATCTTTATACCACTTCAGGGGCCCCACTGGGTCCCTACAGCAGTGAGATTGAGTTTATGCATAATCCAGATGAGAGCTGTAGCTTGAACCAAGGTGATGGTAAAGGATGCTATGAAGGAAGTCAAATCCTGGTTATACTTTGACGATGGTGCTGATGCGCTGACAAACTGGTTGAGGATTTTGGAAAATGAAAAGACATCCAGGATGATTGGGTTTTGGGCCCCAACACCTGAAAAAGTAGAGTTGTCTTTCAATGAAAAAGGGAAATGATATAACACATAGGACAGGTTTGTTGCACATTTACTCATTTTTACTATGTAAAGGTGCAGGAGATAGAACACTAAAGGTGGTTAGTTACAGGTATGATAGTTGGTAAAAAAAAAATGGATGTATTAGTTTGCTAGGACTGTATAACAAGGTATTACCCATTGGGTGACTTAAACAAAGGCAATTTATTGTCTCAATTCTTGGAGGTTGGAAGTCCAAGATTAACTCATTAAGTCCAAGTTTTCAGTTCTGCAAAAATAATAGTCAAATATTTCAGTTGCCATAAGCTGTATATTTGTTGTTCATTTTAAGTTTTTGTAAGTCTTCCACATCTGGGACAATGGGACAGAATGGTTAAGGTTGTCAACAAGGTTGATTCCTTCTGAATTTGGGAGAATCTTTTCCCTGCCATATCTTCTCTTGGATTTGCTGGTGGTCTTTGACATCCTTTGGCCTGTTAAGCTCTGTCTTCATCTTCACATCGCAACCCTGTGTTGTAAATCTGTGTCCACATTTCTCCTTTTCATGACTGACGGTAGTCATGTTGGGTTTTGTGTCCACTATACACCAATATGGCCTTATCTTACTACATCTGCAGGGACTGTGTTTCCAAAGTGGTCACAATCTGAGATACTGGGAATTAGGAATTCACCATTAGAGAGAGCACAGTTCAACTCATAACAGACAGTAGGTGATTACTGTGAAATTGTTTGAGTTTGCCAGGCAAAACATAGCTAAAGGGAGATAGTGTGTGAGTATAGATAAAATAAGCCTGAAGAATTAGTGCCAGTTTTTGCCTGTTTTATTTATTTATTTATTTGCAGCACTGGGGGTTTAATCCAGGGCCTCATACATGCTAGCCAAGTGCTCTACCATTGCACTTACACCCTCAGCTCTTTTCAACTTTTGAGGGAGGGTCTTTATCCTTCCCTCCAGTTACTGGGATTATAGTATGTACCATTATGCTGGGTCAAAATTTCTGTATTTCTGTTACCAGATACAGACTTCATTTTGGTGTTTGGGCCTGAGACTGGCTTGGTCTGTTTCTTACTAGCTATTGGAATTACACAATAAATATATAGAAGGGACTCAATGTATATTTATATTCTGGACGTCGTCATATTTTTCACACAGTAACCCTGTTCAGGTAGGTGGTATTATATTCTTTTTACAGATGAGAAAACTAGGCTATTAAGTTTAGCAGCTTGCTCCAAACCTTACAAAATCCTGGTAAAGTTCACACAAGGTATCATCTGTTAAAAACAAAAAATTATTATTGGGACCATATTGTAAAGCCAAAGTGATCCATTGTTTACATCTACTTCTGCTAATTCTGAATTAGCCTGACTTTGTCAAGTGACTTGATAACCTCACCTGTCAAAAGCCAGTCAAGCAATTTCCTAATCAAGTGTGTATATAAATGTTTCAAATTATATCCTTTCCCCTGGGTTGCTGGTTTCAGCTGATTTTTTTTTTTATCAGAAGTAAAAGTCACATAGCATAATATTGACTCTTATTTGTTTATTTATTTTTTGGTATTGGAGATTATTTGTTTATTTATTTTTTGGTATTGGAGATTGAGTTCCAGAGCTGCTTTACCACTGAACTACATCCCCAAGCTTATTACCTTGAGACAGGATCTTGCTAAGTTTCTCTGGGTCTTAACTAAGATGCTGAGGCTGGCCTCAAGTTTGTGATCCTCTTGCCTCAGTCTCTCTAGTCACTGAGATTACAGGTGTGCGCCACCGTGCCTGGCTAATCTTTTTTTTTTTTAAAGAAACTGTGGTATTTATTTATTTATTAATATTTATTTTTTAGTTTTTGGCGGACACAACATCTTCGTTTGTATGTGGTGCTGAGGATTGAACCCGGGCCGCACGCCTGCCAGGCAAGCGCGCTACTGCTTGAGCCACATCCCCAGCCCCCTGGCTAATCTTAAACTATCTTAAAGTGTATCATCCAGTGGTATTTAGTGGTTTTAGTATTGTCTTGCCTTCACATCTAATTCCAGAACATCTACATTTCCCTATTCCCCTTTTCCTCAACTCCTAGTCTTTATGTTTCTGAATATTTCATATAAATGGAATTGTAAGCAAAAATAACCCAAAAAGAGACCAGATCTCACGATCTGCAAGCTGACTTTAGTAGGCTGCATCGAATGACACATGGCACATTTACATGGGAGAAAATGGTAACTGGTTATAAGAGGGGTCTGCTTTTTATAGGTCTTAATGAAAGTTAATCATAACAGAATGTTTAGTGTGACTTAATCATTAGAGACTTGGGACTTCCTGGGCAGTCAGGAAACTAGTTGTGCAGGTTAAAAATCTAACTCAGGAAAACAGCTGTAAAAGCTTGAAACTCATTGTTACTGGGTTAAAAATCCACAGCCCAGAGCCCCTTTGTTTACCTTTTCTCTCTGGACCCATTGTCCTTGGGAAAGGTTGAAAGACCATAGCCCAGAGCCTAATGTTTGCCTTCCCCCTCTCCCCTCCCAGATCATACTGTCCTTTTTCTCCCTGGGGACTGCATTTCTCTTTTCTTGGGGGATGTTATTTTCCATATTCTTTAGGAATAATATAGTGAGTATGTGACCCTTTATGTCTGCTTCTTTTACTAATGTCATGTTTGTCTCTCTCTCTCACACACACACACACACACACACACACACCATATTGTACTATGTATGAGTACTTTATTCCTTTATACACCTGAATAATGCATTGTATGGGTATGCCACATTTTACTTATACCTTATTTACTTGGCAGTTAATAAATATTTGGGTTGTTTCTACTTTTGTTGATTGTGAATAGTGCTCCTGGGAACATTTATCTTTTTGTATAAATAAGTATTTCATTTTCTTTGAGTGTTTATACTTAGGTATGGAAAAACTTGATCAGATGGTAATTCTGTGTTTTGATTTTTTTTTTTTTTTTGGTACTGGGGATTGAACTTAGGACCTTGTGCATGCTAAGTAAGCACTCTACTGCTGTGCTATAGCCTCAGACCATTTTATTTTATTTTGAGACAGTGTTCCCTAAGTTTTCCAGCCTGGCCTTAAACTTGTACTTCTGTGACCCCAACTCCCCAGGGTTGGAATTATAGGTATGTATCACCATGCATATTTAACTTTTTGAGAAATCTCTTTGTTATTCTTGAATGGAGCTAAATAACTGTTGTTTTTATTATTTTTCAGTACTGAGGATTAAACCCAGGGCCTCGTGCATGCTAGGCAAACATTCTTCCTCTATCATTATTTTGAACATTTATTTATTTATTTATTTTTATGTGTGCTGAGGATTGAACCCAGTACCTCACGTGTGCTAGGCACTCACCACTGAGCCACAACCCCAGCTCTCTATCATTATTTTTTTTTTTTTTAATTTTTTTTTCTTAAAGAGAGAGTGAGAGAGGAGAGAGAGAGAGAGAATTTTTAATATTTATTTTTTAGTTCTCGGCAGACACACATCTTTGTTGGTATGTGGTGCTGAGGATCGAACCCGGGCCACACGCATGCCAGGCGAGCGCGCGCTACCGCTTGAGCCACATCCCCAGCCCTCTATTATTATTTTTTAAGAGGTCGCTGTAACAACTTTGGCAACTAGGGATTCTCAGGAAACAGCAAATGGAGTTAAGTTTATATCTTTCTTACATTGTTACAACACAAAAAAATATGCTCTCTGGATATAATTATTGGGCTCTTTGTTTTAGACACTATGTTAAATGCTCATTTTTAATTCAGCAAAGTGGAAGAGAGGAAAATTCTGTTGTTAGATCCATTTTACAGATGGAGAAATAGAACTAGATTATGTAACTTGCTGAGGTAAAGTGGCAGAGATAACTTTGACTCCAGAGCACTGAAGGAGATCTCAGACTGCTTGTGATGTTTTCTCTGCAGGTCCCCTGCCTCTGCAGTGGCGCATCATGCTTGTTGTGTAGTTGCTGCCCCAACACTAAAAATTCCACTGTGACTCGACTCATCTATGCTTTTATTCTCCTCTTGGGAACTGCTGTGTCCTGTATCATGCTGACGGAAGGGATGGAAACTCAGCTGAAGAAGGTAAGTAGAAATAACAGTACCCTTAACATGCTGACTATTTTAAAAAAAATTTTTTTTTGTAGTAGATGGATAAGATCCTTTTTAAATTTTATTTTCAGTTTAATTGTTTTTACTGTTATATTCAGTCAAGATCATTGTAATTTTAATTTTATGTATTTAAATTTTTTTGAGTGTAGCCAAGACTTGGTTGTTAGGACATTAGTCCTTTTTCAGATATAAAGGTGGTCAGAATGAACAGATTCAGGCTCTGGTTTCAAAACCCAGAGAAAACAGAATTTAAAAGGGATCCTAAGCCTTTTTTTTTTTTTCCTTGTAGTTTTAAACTTTAAGCAAAATTAGTCCTTCTCCTTTGGAAGGAATCTTTGATAGTTGGAAAATCTCATGGGAAAATTGAGATGACCTCATTAGCAAAGAAGAGAGCACTTTTGTTTTTGAGTGCAAGTTGTTTATATACTCTTTGGAAACCATATTGTTGGTCAGTGGGAAATAAAAGACAAAAATCCCACAGCTGGGGCTGGGGTTGTAGCTCAGTGGTAGAGTGCTCACCTAGCATGTGTGAAGCCCTGGGTTCAATCCTCAGCACCACATTAAAATAAATAAAATAAAATAAAATAAAGGTAATGTGTCCAACTACAACTAAAAAACGATAAATATTAAAAAAAAAAAAAAATCCCACAGCCAGCCTTGCAGTTGCTGAAGTGGTCAGTTTTATAAATCTAGGCTTTCCTATGGTGAAATAGAATCTCTGATTAACATGAACATTTCCATAACTTTGGAATTTTTTTTTTCCCCCTCAGATTCCTGGATTCTGCGAAGGGGGATTTAAAATCAGTGTGGCTGATATAAAGGCAGATAAAGATTGTGATGTGCTGGTCGGTTTTAAAGCTGTATATCGGATCAACTTTGCCTTGGCCATCTTTTTCTTTGCCTTCTTTTTGCTCATGTTAAAAGTAAAAACAAGTAAAGATCCCAGAGCAGCAGTACACAATGGGTATGTAAGACTGTTTGTCATTGTATTATGGTGTGGCCTTTCCTGTCCTTCAGCAGGTAATGCGCCCATTCTGATGAAAGCAGTAGAATATGTCAATCAGTGTGCCGGATGTATTTTTGATATTATTATATTATAATACAAATGAAATTGTTAATGTCATTTTCAGCTGGAGCCCTACAACATGGAGGGGATAGGGAGTTATCTTATTGCCCCCCCCCTTTTTTTTTAATGCAGTGCCAGGGATTAAACCCAGGGTTTCTCACATATTAGGCAAGCACTCTACCACCAAGCCACATCCTTGTCCCTGTTGAACACTTTTGAACAGGTCAGACACTATGCTAAGCCCTACACACAACGCACATTTTCCTTTCTGCTGTTTAAATATTTAAACAGAAACATGTACTTGACACATTTAAGCAGTGTATGAAAAAGATAGTGAATATATATATGGACTGCTGATTTACATATTTTAATGCTTCCTACTCCTGATCACCAGTTTCCCATACACACACACACACACACACACACACACACACACACACACACATATATAATATGTCTCATTTGAAAACTGAAAACAGTTTTGTAAATTCTTGTAATCTCCCTTTTTATAGGTGCAATAATTGAATTTCAGAGGTTAAATACATTTTGCCTGAGATCTATCAGCCATTGATTTCTCTTCTGCCATGCAAGGCAATTATTAAAGATGATACACTGAGGGGCTGTGACTGTGGCTCAGTGGTAGCACACTTGCCTGACATGTGTGAGGCACTGGGTTCGAGTCTCAGCACTGTATATAAATAAGTAAAATAAAGGTCTATCAACAACTAAAAGATGTATATATTGAAAAAAAGATGATACACTGAAAGTCAGATTTGGCCCTGGCTTTGCTAGTAATAAGCTGTGTGATTGTGGGCAAGGTTTTTATGTCCTGTGTTATAAATGGAGGATTTTGTAATAAATTTTCTCACAAACCTAGTAGTTAATGGATCTGTATGTACTAACCCTATTAAAACCCATAATTCTAGAAAAGTCCTTACTTTAAGTGCTAAAAGTGGATTCTTACATTTGCATGTTTCTCTTATAATAAATGTGAATGCATTACTTTCTGTGCTGCTGATGTCCTTTATATGAAATATTGAATGAAGTAGCCTCATATCAAATGAATAAGCCAGTCATTCATTTTGGTAATGCTATTAAGGCTTTATTTTTGCATTTAGAAATTTATGTTTCTCAGTGTAAGAACTCAAATTAACATTACATAAATGCATTTTTGTTTTTAATAGGTTTTGGTTTTTCAAAATTGCTGCCATTGTTGGTATCATGGTTGGATCTTTCTACATCCCTGGGGGCTCTTTCACTTCAGGTATGGCTCACTACTGTTGGGTTAGTTATAAGATGTACAGTTTTATAGATGATTGACTTAGAGCTACACTTTCCTTAATGATTTTGCAGAACCAGCCATTAACTGAGATGATATACTAATATTACAACAGTGATTGATTAAATCCAGGAGGCATTCAGCCTGTTCTCAGCTTTTTGGGAACCATATGCTAATCTTTTGGTAATATTTTGATAGCATATAATCTTACTTGGCAAAATAAAGTTAATCAGAAACCTTGTCAATGTGAGGACTTGTAACTCTTCTATTCCATTATCTCATTTGTAATCTGCTTCCTTAACATGGCATCAAGTAATATTTGAGGATTTCTGTTGCAATCTCCCACCCATAAAAGTAAAGGAAAGGACTTATATAGAACCAGTTGGAATGTCAGACCCTTGGCTCCCTTGGCACAAGCTAAAACAAGTTTTAAAAGGTCTGAACCTAATAGAACACTGCTCAGAGAATGCTATTTGAGTTTGGAATTGTAGTAGTCTTGCTATACTGCTGGGGCCAGAATGTCTTAACTATGTCTATTGAAATCTGTTCAGAATGTTGAAAGTAATTCTGAAGTGTTCCTCCTGTGGGAAAGAATAACTCCATTCCTTTGGTTTGTAGTCTGGTTTGTTTTCGGCATGGTGGGGGCTGCTTTCTTCATCCTCATCCAGCTGGTACTCTTGGTAGACTTTGCCCACTCTTGGAATGAATCATGGGTGAGTCGTATGGAAGAAGGAAACCCAAGGGTCTGGTATGCCGGTAAGTAGCTAAACTCACCTCTGACAGCATGCTGCTGCATTAAACAGAGTGTGCAATAAAATCTCCAGTGATTAAATGTATAAACTCCAATATAGAGCTGCTTTTTAAAAAAACTAAAATTTTCCAGTTGGGTTTCCAGAAGGGAATAGCAAAGATATTTTAAATCACTGGATTCTCTGAGCCAATTTATTTTGAGATTTATAATATAACTACCTGTGTTTAGATAAGGAAAATATTTAGTGATGTACTCCTGGTTTGGGCAAACCTGTTTCAATGGACAGGGAAATCAGGTAGGTTCTACATTTGGGACAGCTGCCCATATACCTCAAGTGGATAGGGGTAACTGCTTTATTCAGAGTGTGACCCCACACCTCTTGTGAAAGCTTTCTGGTGGGAAAAGAACACTTCACATTTCTAGGTAGGGAATAGAATTTAAAGCCTATTTAATAATGGGGAGGGGCTTTGTAGCCTTCTGTTTATTAGGCTTTATTGCATTTTTAAAATAACAGTTGAGACTTCTCATTCCCAATCCCATCCCCCATTATAAATAATAGATGCTGTGTCAAGAACTTGGAAAACAGAGATCTGTCACAAAAGAAAAACTCGGGGCTATGGTTGTGGCTCAGTGGTAGAGCACTTGCCTACCACGTGTGAGGCACTGGGTTCGATCCTCAGCATTATATAAAAACAAATAAGGGTGAAAAGAAAAGAAAAATTCTCAAGGTGTGGGAGTGTAGCTCACAGGAGAAGTATGTGCTTATGACGTGTAAGTTATAAGTTAATCACCAGTACTGAAAGAGAAAACAAATTTCCCGTAGTCCAACTATCTAATAATAATTATTCACTGTTAACATATTAGTCTTTTTTTTTACATGTACATGCATATTTTTTGTGTATGAAATTCAAATGTGTGTAACATGGTTTTGTTTATTTTCTTAATGTATTGTGCATGTAAATGGTTTATAATTTGGCTTTTTTGAACTTAGAAATAGCTTGTGAACTTATTTTGGCTTATGGTACAGAAGTAAATACCTAATATGTTTGATTACATTTCTGATTGTTTCCTTAGGCTAAAATTCCAGGAGGAGAAGGATCAACGTGCATAAGAGTTTTAAATGCTTTTAGTGCATATACAAATTGCTCAGTTTTTTCATTTCACTTATTTGGCTTATTTTAGAAGTATTTACACACACATACACTCACAAATTGTGTGTGTGTGTGTGTGTGTAAAGGAAAGTAATACTGTATTCACCATAAACACAAGTGATAGAAATTGATAAAGAGCAAGAGTAGGGATATAGCTCAGTGGTAGAGTGCCTTCTTGCATGCCCCAGGCTCAATCCTTAGCACTGCAAAAGAGAAAGAAAAAAAGATTTATAAAGGACAAAACATGCAATTCCCTGCTTGTCTGCAATCCATTTTCTATTCTAGATGTAGCCACTATTATCTAACAGTTATGTATTAATGCAACATACATTTTTGTGTTTAAATATAAACAGGATTATATATGCTATGTATGTATAGTATTTATTTAATAGCTACATGGAATAATATCCATATAATTCTTTGGTATTCCATGGCACAGTATACCAAAATTTATTTATTCTTTACCCTATTCTTAGTCACTTGAAGTACTATTTTTTTTTTAGAAAAAGATTTAAAAATTTTTCTGTATCATCATGTTGGGCTGGGAACTCCTAAACTTCTTTACTTCATTCTAGTAAAAATTTATTTTTTTATCTATTCTGTTTTCTGTAATTCCTTCTTTTGGAGAGGGTGGGGCAGTAGTGGGGATTGAACCCAGGCCTTTGTACATGCTAGGCAAGCCCCTCTATGCACCCTTTTAAATTTTTTGAGACAGGTTCTCTCTGAGTTTCTCAGACTGGCCTCAAACTTATAGTCCTTCCTGACCCAGCCTTCTGAGTAACTGTGATTACAGGTGTGTGCCACCATACCCAGGTATACTTTTTTTTTTTTTTTAATTTAGAAAATTTTTATATAATTCATTTTGGATCATATAACTCTAGAAGAATTTAATGAGTTGAAGATTGACTGTACCTACCTTAAGAGTAGCTAAGTATAGAGAAATTTATTCCTATTCTGATGGAAAAACATTAAGAACTGTGCTGGTGACCTAATGTAGAAAGTTTAATTTTAAACGTGTGAAATCCATCCAGATAAGTAGAAACCAATTTTCTCTCGTAAGTCTTTGCTTCAAATTGAACACAGGTTTACTTGGTGTACTGTACAGTCTCTTCGTGTTTCTTAATTTCAGAATTAAGTAATTAATTTTTGGTTAACCTTTTGACTAGAAAGATGCATTCATGTAGATATTTGGAAATAGCAAATGATCTACTTTCTCATTGTGATCGGAAACAGTTTTGGGTAGCCAGTGGCCACAGAAGAAAAACTATTATAAAAAGATGCCTGTTTTATTTACCCCTCTCACCTCCTGGCATATTGCTTCCTATGAATTGTGCCATTTTGAGGGCCCAGGAATCATCTAAGCTATGTAAAGCTTCTGGAACTCCTTATTTAACAGACAAATTAGCAGTTTACTCCAACTGGAATGACCAAATATCTGGTAATCTAGGCAATGAAACCAAATTAGATAATTCAGGAAGTGAATTCACTTGCTTCTTGGGTTTTAGAAATTAACATGGAGCCAACACAACCCGAAACTAACCTTGGGGCTTCTGAAATTTTGTTATAAATTCTTGACCACCATGAGGGTGGGTAATTTAATACATCTTCATTTTTATATAGTATAAAAAAGAAATAGGTCTTCATTGTAGAAGTTTTCTGAGAATCGTGGATATTTATATTTGTTTCTCTTTTTCCAGCTTTACTCTCTGTTACAACCTTTTTCTATGTCATGTCAATCATCGTTGTTGGGTTATTCTACACATACTACACAAAACCAGATGGCTGCACAGAAAACAAGTTCTTCATCAGTATTAATCTGATTCTCTGCATTGTAGTTTCCATTATATCGATCCACCCAAAAATTCAGGTATGGTTGTTTTTTGCTTCTTCTTGCTGTGAAAAGATTTTGTTTTTGTGTTTGTAAACCAAGGATGGAACCCAGTGGGGCTTAACCACTGAGCCACATCTACATCCCTTTTTTAATTTTTATTTTGAGACAGAGTCTCACTGAGTTTCATAGGGTCTCTCCAAGTTGTTGAGGCTGGCCTTGAACTTAAAATCCTCCTGTCTGTCTCAGCTCCTGAGCTGCTGGGATTTCACCATGCCTGGCCCTGTGAACAGTTTTTAATTAACACTAATTTCAAAAACTTAGTAACCCTTTAGTGAATTTATGTCTGAGTTACCCTTTTAAATATTTTTCCATATTATGTTATTGAGAGCCTCTGTCATGATTAATTTCCCTTTCATTTAAAAAAAAGCTGAGGAACTTGAGAATTTATAGATCTTCTAAAACTATGTAAGTCTTGGGAATCATTGAGTCATTAGTTAACATATTTTAGGAGAAATAGTTAACTTTAATATTAAAAACAAAGATTTATGCTCTTGAGGGTCATTTTTTAAACATTATACAGGGTTAATATGTACCTCAGTGGTAGTGAAGATTGGCTATATCTTAGAATAACTTAAGTGTAGAGACATTGTGCTTGTTCTGATGGGAAAACATTAAGAACCGTGCTGTGCTGGGGATATAGCTCAGTTGGTAGAATGCTTGCCTCATATGCACAAAGCCCTGAGTTCCTTCCCCAGCATCATGATTAAAAAAAAATCATTGCGGTTTTAGATATTAAAAGACATCTAATCTTCACTTCTGGGTTAAAAGTGAGAAAACTGTAACCTGGGAGGCGGAAGATCATAAGTTCAAGGCCAGCCTGGGCAACTTAGTGAGACCCTGCCTCAAAATAAAAAACAAAAAGGCTTGGGATATAGCTCAGTGAAAGAAGCGATGGATTACCTCACTGATTAGTAACAGAGCTGAGCTGAGACTCTTCCTATTACACCAAGGGACTAAACAATCAAAACTGTTGTGTGATGTACAGGAATTTTCAGGATCAAAGAATGCCTTGAGAGTCAGTAGATGTTTTATATTTCTTAATTCTTTTGCAAACAAACTCGGATTGACAGGTTACTTGTCCACTTTCAACTGTCAAGCAAAATTAATAGGTTCTCAGCTACTAACAATTCAGCAAATCGCAGGGAAGCACATTGGCTTTTAGAAAGAGAGACCTTGCAATCCCTTTGGCAGTTTTCCTTTTTATTCCCTAGGAACATCAGCCTCGTTCCGGCCTCCTACAGTCCTCTGTCATCACGCTCTATACCCTGTACCTCACGTGGTCAGCCATGACAAATGAACCTGGTAAGGAATGTCAGTAACACTTTTATAGGATGAAAATAGGAAAGTACCTCTTTGGTGGGTGTAAAAACTAGAGGTAGAGCAAATATGAAACAGACAACAACATTTTAAATGTTGTAATTGAACAGTGGTCACTGTAGATTTACAGATATTTACCTTTTATGTTTTATTCCCCATATGTAAGACCGAGGAAGACATTTTGACACTAGTAAGAGCTCTTCACAAGAGTGACCTTGTTTTGGTCCTTTGTAAGGTTATTTTACTTTGTTGTCATAGACATGGCAGAAATAGCTGTAAGAAAATCTTCTTTTACAGCTATTATAGGATTGTTCTCAATAGGTCATTCTGTGAGCTCTATAAAGGTAAACAATTATTGTAGCCCCCCTCTCATGATATATTTTTTAAAATTTTTAGTTGTAGATGGACAAAATACCTTTATTTTTTATTTATTCATATGCAGTGCTGAGAATTAAGCCCAGTGCCTCATATATGCTAGGCAAGCACTCTACCACTAAGCCACAACCCCAGCTCAGTAACTTAATTTTTATTAAATAACTATGTTAAAGCTTAGGATAAACTTGTGTGCATAAAGCCTTGGTACTATATAACTAAAAAGATCTTTCAGGTAAACTATAAAGCCAGGAAAATCATGCTTGATGTTTACGAATTTGACAGATACTGTCGTTTCTTGTTTTCTGAAACTAAATCACTAATTTCAGCACATATACATTACTGACTGCTGAGTTTCCAGCTGGATGAAGTATTCTCATGTTTCACATCAGCACTGAATGATACATAGGCAATCTCTTAATTCTTTCTTGGAACAAGATGAGCTGAAACTATAGATAATAAAAATTCCCCATTTTCAGATCGATCCTGCAACCCCACCCTACTGAGCATCATTACACACATCGCTTCACCAACCATGACTCCTGCAAATTCCACTGTTGTAGTCCCTACCTCTGCTCCACCATCAAAGAAGGCGCACTTTCTGGATGCAGAAAATCTTCTAGGGCTTGCAGTCTTTGTTTTCTGTCTTTTGTATTCTAGGTAAGTTAAAAGGTGGTTACTCTAAGGTTCTCATGAAAGATAATAATAGAATGAAGAAGGTATTTTGCTTTTAAAACTATTTTGAGGAATGGAAAAAACAGTTCTCTTTAATGAGAAGTTCTTTATGCACCTCAGTTACCCAGCTATGTGTGTTTCTTTCTTTTTCTTTCTTTTTTTTTGATACTGAGGATTGAACCCAGAGCCTTGAGCATGCTAGGCAAGCACTCTACCACCTAGTGACATCCCCAGCTCCCAGGGGGATCTGTATTTCTTAAAGTCCAGAATATCATCTCACCAGGTAATTCCTCAAAGTCTTACAAAGAAATGAGAATAAAATAGTGGCTTTCAAAACTGGATGGATTATCTTTTTAGAAAAAAAAAATCTTGGGGCTAGGGATGTAGGTCAGTGGTAGAATACTTGTCTGACATGTGGAGGTCCTGGGTTTGATTCCTAGCACCACAACAAAATAACACAAAAGGAAAACATTTTCATTCGTACAAAAATCCTGTACCCGTTAGCAGTCACTCCCCAATCACCCTCCTTTCTGCTTCTGGCAACTACTAATCTTCTTCATGTGTCTGTAGATTTGCCTACTCAAACATTCCATATGTAGTCATGCCTCACACTATATAAATACTTTTATATATTTATATACACATGCACACATGTGCACGTGTGTAAAATACATAGATTTCATATATAGTCCTGAGTATACAAGGATACTCTGAGAAATGCGTTGTTAGATGATTTAATTGTTCGAACATCGTAATGTGTGCTTATTACATAAACTGAGATGGCACCAGTGTCAATAGGTTCTGTGATCTTATAGAACCACTGTCATGTGCAGTCCTGTCGTCAACTGAAACATAGTATGGCACTTGACTAAATGCAGTAATGTCAGGTCTGACAGCTTTTGCTGAATAGTTTTGAGGTTGATCCTTGTAGTAACTTATATCAGTAATTATTCCTTTTTTTTATAGAAAATATTGGATCCCTTGGGCTGGGGATGTGTCTCAAGCTGTAGCGCGCTCGCCTGGCATGCGTGCAGCCCGGGTTCAATCCTCAGCACCACATACAAACAAAGATGTTGTACCAGCTGATAACTAAATAATAAATATTAAAAATTATCTCTCTACCTCTCTTTTAAAAAAAAAAAGAAAGAAAGAAAATATTGGATCCCATTATGTAGCTGTAACACAGTTTGTTGTTAATCAGTTGGTGGACATTTGGGTTTTTTCCCTTATGTGACTGTTTTGAAAAATGCAGCTGTTAATGTTTGTGTACAAGTGTTTTGTGTGGATGTATGTTTTTAGCTCTCTTGAACATAGGTAGGAGTGGAATTTCTCAGTTATTTGGTAACTATTTAACTTCTTAAGGAACTGCCAATGTGTTCTCCATGTAGTGGCTGCATCATGTTATGTCCCCCCAACAAAATTTACAATTTGACCATATCCTAATCGTTATACTGTAATTGTCTACCTTTTAAATTGTAACCATACTAGAGTGAGTGGAGTAGCATTTTGTTGTGATTTTGATTTGTGTTTCTCTAACTAATGGTAGGCATCTTATTCATGTGCTTATTGATAGAGCTTCTTTAATTTTCTATTTAAGGCTTTTACTTGTTTTTTAATTAGGTTGTCTTTTTATTGTTTTTATATATGGTTTGAGGTAGAGGTTCCAGTTCTTCCCCTTGTGATTATTCAGTTGTCCCAGACCATTTGTTGAAGAAACTCTTCTTTCTCTCATTGAATTGTCTTGGCATCTTTATCAAAAATCAGTTGACCACAAATGTAATAGTTTTATTTCTAGGCCTGTGGTTTTGTATCATTGGTTTGTATGTTTTACCTTAGGCCAGTACCAAACTGTTTTGATTACTATAGCTTTGCAGTAAATTTTGAAATTGGGAAGTTGGAATTCTCTAAATTGTTCTTTTTTAAGATTGTTTTGGGTCATTTGTATTTTTATGTGAATTTTAGGATGAGCTTGTCAGTTTCTGTAAAAATAGATAATCAGAGCCAGGCTCCTGAGTACCTGTGATCCCAGCTACTCAGAAGCCTGAAGAATAAGGGTCATAAATATGAGACCACCCTGGACGTCTTACTGAAACCCTGTCTCAAAATAAAACATAAAAAGAGCTGGGGAAATAGTTTATTGGTGAAGTGCCCCTGGGATCAATCCTTAGTACCAGAAAGAAAAGGTAGTTGAGATTTTGATAGGGTTTGCATTGGTTCTGTAGATCAGTTTGGGAGGATATTTTAACAGTATTAAGGCTTTCAGTCTATGAGTGTGAAATGTTTATTTATATCTTTTTTATTTAGACCACTTATTTAGTTCTTTAATTTCTTTCAGTGGATTATAGTTAACTAGTGTACAGATCTTAAACATATTTTGTAAATTTCTAAATGTTTGATTTGATTTGATGGTATTGTAGATACAGTTGTTCAACTTTGGGATTGCTCATTTCTCAAGTATGGAAACATAGTTGATTTATTTTTTAAGAGAGAGAATTTTTTAATACTTATTTTTTAGTTTCCAGTGGACACAACATCTTTTTTTTTTTTAATGTGGTGCTGAGGATCGAACCCAGCGCCCCGCCCGCACATCAGGCGAGCACGCTACCGCTTGAGCCACATCCCCAGCCCCATAGTTCATTTTTGTGTGTTGATCTTGTATTCAGCTAACTTGCTGAGCTCATTCATTGGTTCTAAAGGTTTATATGTGTTTATTCCATAGGATTTTCTACATACAAGATCAAGATATCTGCTAATAGAGTTGGTTTTACTTCCTTTCTAGTTGGATACCTTTCATTATTCTGGCCAGATCTTCTGGTATAGCATTAAATAGCCAAGTGAAGAGTGGGATTCTTCTCTTGTTCTTGATCTTAGGAGGAACCTTTTAGTTTTTCACCGTTAAGTATGGTGTCAGCACTGCAGTTCGGTTTTCACTGATGTATTTTATCAATTGGAGAAAGTTGTGTATTCCTACTTTGAGTATATTTATCTTGAAAGGTCATTGGGTTTTGCCAGATGTTTTTTCTGTCTGTTGAAATGGTCATGTAGTTTTTGTCATTCATTCATGTGTATTTTTTAATTCAGTCATTTAACTCCTGCTTATAGTAAGCGTCTGCAGTGCTAGAGACACATAGATGACTCTGCATCTTGTTAGGGAGTTCTTTGCCTAGTAAGCAAAGAACAAGGCAGGAACGAAAAGTGCTGAGGCAGAAGGATGCCCTAGGGAGCATTGGGAGGTGGGAGGAAGCCTCTAACTCAGCCTAGTGAGGGTTGATGTCAGGGAAGTCTTTCCAGAGGACATGGCACTGAGTCAGAGAAGTGAGGGATGAGTAAGTTAGCTGGGAAAAGGTTGGTGGGTGGTACATCCCAAGCATAGAAGAGGCCCTTTGAAGTAATAGGAACATAGTGTGCTTTGGGAGTTGGGCCATGGGGTCGTAACTGATGCAAGTATGGTCAGCCCTATGATGACAGGCAGCAGTTCAGAATTTTAAGCAGAGACCTTAGTCTCCAAAGTTGGAGCAGCTACAATATAATGTTTGCAGGCCAAAGGCATCAGTTCATTTCATGGCCCCTTTCTGATTTGTCTTCCTTACTTTCCAGCATCCGAACTTCCAGCAACAGCCAAGTAAACAAGCTGACCCTCTCAGGGAGTGACAGCGTGATCCTTGGTGATACCAATGCCAGCGGAGCCAACGATGAAGAAGATGGACAGCCTCGGCGGGCTGTGGACAATGAGAAAGAGGGAGTGCAGTATAGCTACTCGTTTTTCCATCTGATGCTCTGCTTGGCTTCCTTGTACATCATGATGACACTGACCAGCTGGTACAGGTGAGGCACAGACAAAAAGGTGGAAGACCACTTAGCCCCTTGGACCGCCTGTGACTCTTTATCTATTGTCCTGACCGTATCACCCCTTATTTTACTCCTGTAATAAGCTCTGCTCGGTGCTCTCTCTGAAAGACTTTGGATTTTCTCCCCTCTGCATTTAAAACCCTTTTGGAATTCTTTGCAGTGAAAATACTTTGGGAGTTTTTCTAGACTTGATTTATTTGAGAGAAAATCACGATATTTTATAGGAGCTTAACCCATCTTTGTAGACAAGTTTTCTCTGTACATAGAGAAGGCCATATCAAAATATTTTGGTCAGAGTAATAATATGCTAAGGAAGGAACGTTTCAGGGAGGCCCATTTTAACCTAGACTTTTACCAATAATTAGAACAGCCAAGTGGTCCTGAAGCATTTTACCCAAAGAATAGCTGAAGTCTTTCATGCTGACAAGAGAAAAAATGCTATTTGAGAGGCCAGATATTTCCTCATAACAACTAAAAATAGCTGCTTCTTTAATTTTCCCCTAGAAATGTACTGGGGTACTAGTGCCAGCAAGGTTTCACAGGGGACTTTCTTACCTTAACTAGGGTCTGCAGGATGCTGGTACCAGGTTCCTTTACCTGACTCTTTTTGTTTTCTTAGCCCTGATGCCAAGTTCCAGAATGTGACCAGCAAGTGGCCTGCTGTGTGGGTCAAGATCACCTCCAGCTGGGTGTGCCTCCTCCTTTATGTCTGGACCCTTGTGGCTCCATTAGTCCTCACCAGTCGGGATTTCAGCTGAACTTCTGAGTGCCAAGGACACTGCTGAAGTTCCTAAAGGTCTCACCTTTGCTGAAAACTCATATCCCTTTTAAGTTTGCTTCGACTAAACTATTAAGTGAACGCTTTGCAAATTTGACTATATTCTGGTTTATATCAAAAAGCAAGATTGAAAATGCTTGATGCAGAATCTGAACTTTTCATTTTTATGTATTTTTATTTGTAAGGATATAGCACAAGAGAACATGTTTGCGTTTTTAAAGAGAACTACAGCTGTGCTGTGAAGAGAGTTCTTTATAAAGATATGTAGGGTTCTACAAATTTCGTTTAAAATATAAGATAGAAGAATATTGGATATTTGAAGCTATCATTAATATATTTCTATTGCATTCTCCTTAAAAAGAAAAAAATGCATTTATATGACATTTCCCTCCATGAAAGTCTTTATTGTGTGATTTAAGCACATTGTTCAGTGCGTAAACTCTTTGGAGGTGTGTTGCATCATCATTCTTGGGTAAGGATCATGTATGTGGGTCCTTCTCCAGAAGCGTGATTGCTGATGAGGCTGCTGCTTCTGCAGCTTGAGTTTATTTACTTTTTTAATACTACAGCATTGATGCAGCTTGATACAAGTCTGTGGCTTTGCCAGATATGTTAATTTCAATAAATGCTTTGTAGGTTTGATTAAAATGAAGATTCATTTGGGGAAATACCACAATGTCTATGTAATGATCTTGTCATGAGTATGTAAAAGTAAAATGCATGTAAGTTATATATTTGCACTATAAAGGTATTTGATTACAATAGAAAGACATTAAACTTTTAAGGCCCTTTCTTTAACAGCTTTTTGAGTTAATAGCCATGCATTATTTTTTGGACAGTCACAGGTTTATCTAGCATCACATCAGGATGCCCCTGTTCCTTCTGAGTCTTGAACTCATTCAAAAATTATCCCTATTATCTTCTCTGGGTAAGACTTTGGTAGATGAGGAATAGTTAAGGCACTATCAAGAAATATAATTCAGAGAGGCATCATACAAGGAGGTAAGATAAAGCAGTTCTTTTAGCAAAGATTTACTGGGTGTCTATTCCACAGCAGGCCCTGGAACACAGCTTTAAATATGACAGACCACAGGCTCTTCCTTCTTGGACAGTGTAGAGGAGTGTGAAAATGAGCTGATGGGTGGTTCTGATGTGAGTTAGTGCTAGGATTTTGGGATTGCAGGAATCAGGAGGACGGGTACAGGTACCTGGGGTAGAGGGTGTCACAATGGACTTCCTAGAGAAGTGCTGTTAGGAGTAAGCTAGAGAGACATGGGATAGTGGAGTGACATTGCTGAGGATGGGCAGAACTACACTTAAAAGCAGGGAGATAGGAAAAAAGTGTTCAGTGAAGCCGGAATGGAGGGGGAGAGAATATGGGGACTGAGTTCTGAAGTGCTTTATAGACCCTCATGAGAGTTTGGACTGTAATATTGAGGGCAGCAGAGCGCATCTTCAGAGCAACATGCGCAAACTGTGTCTTTGGTCACTTGGGCTGGTACAGAGAGGATGGATATAGAGAGATGATACCAGAAGCAGTTCATAGGAAATTTGAAATAAAGAAGTAGAAGGGGACATGGAGGGAATGAGAGTGAGGGCTACTTGGTAATTAGAATTTTAACACTGGAAATTAGAGATGGTCCCTTCAGAATGAGTACAGTTTTGGGAGTAAGCTTTTAGGTTTGCACCCCAACTTTGCTCCCCACCCCCAAATTGGGGATTGAACCCAGGAGCGTGTTACCACTGAGCTATATCCCCAGTATTTTTTTATTTTAAGACAGGGTCCAAGTTGCCCAGGCTGACATCACACTTCTGGTCCTCTTGCCTCAGCCTCCTATGTTGCTGGGATCACAGGCCTGGGCTACTACCATGCTTGGCAGCTTCTCCATTTTTCAGCTGCCAAACTGGTCAGCCAATATTTACTGAGTACATACCACATTTTATGACTTAGGGCAAATGACTTTACCTCTCTGAGCTTCAGTATTGGTACCTAGAACCTGTGTACTGATGTACTTAGATGGTTTGAAGAATGCTTAACACACTTAAAGCACTCTTGATAGGAGCTGCTAATCTCATTATGGGTTAAAGTGAGACTGGATGAGATTCAAGGGTCACAGATGTTCAGAATCTGGTAGAGGCTGGATTTGAGGTATTTTTATAGAATTAACCAGATGAACATAGAGGTGGAGATAAGGAAGCAAAGCTTGAAACAAATGGTTGGAACTGCTGTCCTTCAAACCAGCTGTGTATGTCAGGCTTGTATGTGGAAGTAAAGTGCAAAGGATTTGAGGGTGAATGAGTTTGGCCCTTGGTCTTGCCAGAGTAAAGCAGATTCCTGTTCCTTAATAGCAGGGGTGCCAGAAAGAATTCTATAGGTTCTAAACTTCAAAAACATTACAGTGCCCCCCTCTTCTGCGTTATGTAATTCAATATAAAAGCAATACTAAACTGTAAAATAATGTAACAAAGTCCAATAAAGGTTTTTATTTTTTTTTTCTCATGATGATAGTTTGATATTAATTTGAAATAACAAACTCTCTTTAAAGTTTGGGGATAATGTCCCTTTTGTTGGTCATCCCCTAAGAATAAATGAAGTCTATCTGTGAATAGGAAACTCAGTCATTGACATTCAAGAATTATACACGTGAATGCTGAATTATACATAAATGTTCATGATACCAACATTTTGAGTAAGCGAAGATCATGCTTCAAAGCAGGGTGGTGTTATGAATCATCAGATCCCATGGTTTCATCTCATTCTAGATGAATCACCTGGTGTTTCATCAGTAAGAATAGGTTGGGACGGCCTCTTAGGTCAAGGCCTTGGCTTTGTGGTCAGTAGCATGTTCTAGGAGTTCATTAAAGCAGCAGCTGCTGCTTTGACCTCATTAGAGCTGGGAGAGAACTGTTAAGTGTTGGTTTACCTTTTAGGTTGGCCTTAAACTCAGTGGGGAATAAAACTTTCTCTTGATAGCCAAAGATGACTGCCAAAGAATGACCATAGACCTGGTTAAAAGGATAACTTGATGTTCCAGACCAAACCATAACTCAGGTCTAATTTAGAGTAGGACAGCCTTTTTTGTCAATCGTAAAAGTCTTTGCTTGACTATATTTTTCTTTTTACCTGTTGAACGTGAGTATTTAGATGATGATGTGCATTTGATTTCTGGAAATTAGTAGTAGGTACCAGGCTTATGTTTCTTCACGGGAGCTGCTGGTCATCTTTCTCACTTTGTGTTGACCTATCCATCCTGTTACCCAGGCACCCAAATCAGTCCGCCTCCTCGATGATGTCCTGATGACTGCTGGGTGACCAAGCCACACGTTGCCTCTTTGCTCAGGTGAAGAATAATAATAGATACCACATAAACAGCTACATGTGCCAGGCCATGAATAGATAATGTGTACACCCCTGTGAGGTGCTGAGTCCCCACACCCCCTGCCCTTAAATCAAACTGATGCTTGGAAAGTAGTCAGACTTCCTGTTGCCCAGGAAGAGGTGAAGAAGCAGGGAGTCAAACCTGGGGCTTGACTTCTAAGTTTTTTTCTCAAAACACCCTTTGTCTGGATCCAGGAGGTTATACTAGAGACTGCTTGGAGACAATGGAGGGGAGTAAGCTGGCTCACAACACTGCCCATCATTTTCAGGAAAGTTAGTGACCACCTGACAGCAGTCACTATTTTACTAGGTCACTATTGCTAGTTGCTGGCACCTAGTCAGGTAAGAGCATGAACACTTGGTTAAAACTTCCCCCCAAGGAAAGTGATACCCTAACTGATCTTCTGACTCTCCACCTTTATCATTATTTGGTTTGGGGACCAAACCCTGAGCCTTCTGCATGCTGAGCATGCAGTCTACCTCTGAGCTATATCCCCAGCCCTTTTTATTTTTTATAAGTTGCTGAGGGTGACCACCATGTACGATTACATCCTCTCCCCTTGGTACATGATGCAGTCTAGGTGCACCTGGTCTTTGGGGGCAGCCAGCTGAACGTTTGCCACAGTACCCCTCCCAGGCTCTCCTGGAGGAGGGAGGCCATGCCTGTGAGTAGGAAACCTAAGAATCTTTATCCAAACTCTACGGGGGCTGGGGATATAGCTCAGTTGGTAGAGTGCCTGTCTCGCATGCACAAAGCCCTGGGTTCAATCCCCAGCAGCACCAAGAAAAACAAACTACGCACACTCATCCTTACAGGGATTTTTATTAAGACCCAGTCATGCATACTAAAATTACATATTTTTTATACCACTTTGACTTAGAAAAATGCACTAGAAAAATAAACTTTTGGTCAAAACAAACACTGAAGTAGATGAAGCCACCACCATGTGTCCCCACACTCGAAGCTACACTGAATTTCAGGTTGAAGCAAAGAATGCAACCAGTGGCTAAAATGATAGCCCAACCTAGTTAATTAACCCAGCTCCCCACAGAGTGGTATCAGAGGCATATCCACAAGAGCCCAGAACTCTTAACTACCTGACTACACAGGCTGCCTTCTTGAGAGTTCTCTTGAAAACAAGCTAAACTGAAAACCAGTAAATGCATCCCAATCATCTCCATCCACGAGTCATACCAGACCTTCCCATGAAGCAAGCTCCTGCTAAGTGGGAATATTTGATGATGTTTGTTTCTTGCATTTCAAGCAAACCATTTCTGAGTCGAGAGCAGAAAGGAATTTAGATTTTCAAAGTTAACAGCTGCCAATGCTCAGGGGTGCTAACAGGTTGACAGTCTTCCTGAGCATCTCCAAGCTGTCACAGCCACAGGAAGGCCACACATTAGTTGACATGTCCCTTCCTGAATGAATGGAGGTTTCATAGGAAAACCTGGAAAGCTGACAACTTTAAAATGAGGTATTATAATAATGCCACAATGGCTGCCAAATGAAAAAGAAACCCCATGACTGATCAACACTGCCCAGTCAATAAGTCTTGAATTCAGGGGAAATGCCTCCTACCACGCCAGCAGGATGAAGTGGAAGGATCCATAGCCCCTTCTGTAGTCCCACGCAGGAAAGCCAGTGTGCGAAGCCAGGGTTGCATTTTTGGCTGTTTCCAGAGATTTCATCTGTTTCTCTCCATAAAGGTAGACTATGTTTCTAGGAAGAATGGGGAATGGGGGAAGAGAAAACTCCCATTGTCCCAAGCTAACAAATTTGTTTTGGAAGCTTTACCAATACATTCAGACCCAAATTTCCTAAAAACCCAGATGGCAGTAAAAGTGGGTTGTTACTGTGGCAGTGAAGCCTGCCAGATGCCAGAAACACAGGTTTGGCATTCAGAGTAGAGGTCTCCTGGGTCATGATGATTCAGGGGTGTTCAATGGTTTGTTCAAGGACACATACGTGGCAAGATGTAGCTGGAACTCGATGCTCCTAATTTCTGTCCCTGTCCCTCCCTGATATCTCCCTACCTGTAACCAGGGGAAAGTTCATGCCTGGTGTTTTTGAACCAAAGTTCCCTGAAGGAAGGCTCTTGCCCCAGTCCTCAGGTGTCTCCACCACAAAGCCAGGCCTGCTGTGCCCGGCTGGTCGCCCGCCTGCTCTGCCTTGCTTTTCACCAGGGAGGTCCTGGATTTACAGCTTGCTTCCCATTCCCTGAGGTGCCAAGACCATTTGATCTTTCTGGAGCCAGCAGGATGCCCAGCAGCTCCAGGAGGCAGGCAGAACTAGGTCAATGCCTCTCGCCTGAGGGGAAAGGCTGGGAAAACAGGCAACATCCTTTCCTGCCTCTGAATTATTTCTCCAGGTGAGCCTGGCCATCCAGCGTTTAGTCATGTAGACAAGGGCCACTGGCCAGGAACATGATGCAGGGGCAAGTGTTCATCCGTCCCTCCATCTAGCTGTTTCTGTGGGCGTCCCCCACTTCACACACATTCTCTTCTCTTTGGAACCCAAGGGAGTCTAACCAACTTCCCACCTGGCCTCTGCATTCTGAACCGTGCCCTTCAGCCATTCCACTGAAGCCTAGGTCTTTCAGCAATGCTGGTCACATTGCTTTCACCCACTGGTAGCCAGTGGTGTACGTTTTGGCACTTCCAGCTCAGCCAGGACCTTAGAGGATTCAGGGTTAGTGTCTATGGTGGAAAGAACTTTCCATGGAATTGGCATTAATGAGGTAAGTAAATTAATTTCCACCAACTTATGCATTTCTGAAAGTGCTGTAAACTTGAATAGCTTAGTAATAGAAGACCTTGGAATTTCAGAGGCTGTTTCTCTCCCTCAGGAAACTATCTGCTTTGCCTGCTTATTCTAATAAATGTACAGAGAAGGTACAGGCACAACAAATAGTACTTATCACTACTTGACATCTTGATCACATGTGAAAGGAAACAGGTCAGAAACCATCAGATGAACCACCTAATTTGATGGCTGGGCTAAGGCCGAAGTCTTCTAAAATGCTGAAATTCAGAACTGCCATTCAGGGCAACTGGTCCTCCCACACCAGAAAGACAATCTACAGTGGGCCTGGGAGGGCAGAGGCTCCATTGGTGACCCAGCAACAACCTGCCCATGTGTGTATGTTTTCAGGGATGAGATTTAAGAAATCCAAGTATTAAAACCACTGTAGCTGAGTTTACAATATCCTACCCAGATTTCAGGATGGAAGGAATTCCTACAACATTCAGGCCACCTCACACAAGCCATCCTTTTAACCATCACTACAAAAAGGAAGTTGGGTCACTGAGTCCTAGGAATGCATATACTAGCTTCTTTAAAGACAGGACCAGATGGCGCTAATTCTCCATGGAAAAGTCTGTGCGTATCGATAAAAACTAGGATGTGACCACCACTATCTGATAGCCATCTCCAGGAAGATAACCTACCAGTAGCTAAACCATATACCAGAACCTCAGTGCCAAAAGGGCCCTTTGACATGATTTCATCCAGCCTCATAAATGAGAAAGCTGAGACCCACGGGGGCCTGAGTCTTGTGTATAGTCACACAGTCACATACCTGGAGCCCAGGTCTCTTAATTCCTAGTCCAAAATTCTTTAGCTTCACAAGCCTAGAATCCAGTGTTTTACACTGAGCAAGATCATATACTTTTAAGACCTGGTCTGACTCAACTCAGAACCAGGGCTAAGGCTTTATAGGTTTGGGAGATGTTTCTATTGCAAGATTCAACCAGTGAATCCCAGGGAGGCTTTGAAATCTCTGGCTTCTCAATTTGATCAGGAAGAAGTGCCTAGATCCTGGTGCTCCCCTAGTGCAGGCAAGGTGCTTTCCAAACCCAGTGACAGCCACCGGGGAACTGGACCTGGAATGGGAAGTTTCCTGATTGGTGGCGGGTTTACAGCGAGAGTTCTCGTGAAAGGCAGACTCCCAAAGCTTTGCATGGCCTCCTTGAAGGTTCGGCCAAGTTGTTTCAGAAGAGTAGTGCTGACTGGCCACTTGTGTTGTCTTTTCCTGGAATTGGGATCAAAGTGACTTTTTCTTCCGAGATGCCTAAGAACTAGATACAACTTCAACTGTGAATGTGTGGGGTCACTGAGGAAA